TGAGCAATTTAAAGCATCAAGTTTTCAGTAATTCTAAGGCTTGACATTAAATATATATATATATATGTATATATAAACACTATTTTTTAATATGAAACTTATTGTCAAATTGGTTTCCATACAACACCCAGTGCTCACCCCAACAGGTGCCCTCAATACAGATATACACTATTAACAAGTACTTAGGAGACTTTATAATCCTGACGTTCATTAATTAATGTTCTGTGGTTTCTAGCATTCAGTCACTCATTCAACAAATACCTATTGACCTCTGGACCAGCTCTGTTGCAGGTGCTAGGATGTGGGGGTACACACTTCAAAGTCTTGGCCCTCAAGGAGCGAACATTCTAGCACGGTTTACTACTGCCCTCACCCCACTCCTCGCTAGATTGTAAAGAACTTGACAACTGGGACTGTGGGAGCCTTTCCACACACACACACACACACACACACACACACACACACACACAGCCCGGAGCACAGCCTGAGGCACTCTTCCCAGAACTCACTCTTTGATGGCCTGCTGTGGGTTTGGTGGCTTGCTTTCCCCCACCGCCCCCTTCACTGTGGCTAATTTACATTGGAATGTAAATCCTAAGCATTTACATATATTATTTCCTTTAATCCTCACAGAAACTCAATGGGGCTCACGCTATTTTAATCCTCATTTTGCAAATGAGCCGAAGAATGGAGGGGTTAAGAAATGTGACCAAGTTTCTGAAGCTAGGAAGTAATGGGAACCCAGGCCATAAAGAGCCTCATGCTTTTCCACCCAGACTGTGTCCATTTGGATGTTCCTACTGACAGCATTTTTTTTTTTTTTTAAGATTTTTTATTTTCACATCATCCCTACACCCGACATGGGGCTCAAACTTACAACCCTGCAATCAAGAGTCACATGTTCTACGGACTGAGCCAGCCAGATGCCCCTGGCACCACTTTCAACTTGAGCATGGAAGGCAGCCTGGGTGGCTCCGTCGGCTAAACATCTGACTTGGGCTCAGGTCATGATCTCGCGGCTCGTGGGTTCGGAGCCCTGCATCGGGCTCTGAGCTGATAGGGCAGAGAGCCTCCTTGGGATCCCGCCCCCCTCTGCCCCTCCCCTGCTTGTGCTTTCTCCGTGTCTCTCAAAATAAATAAATAAACTTAAATGGTGCTTAAAAAAAACTGAGTGTGGAGCCCAGAGTCTTGGCCTTTGGCCCCAGGTGGCATTTTCTTGGTCTGCAGAGTCCTGGGGTGGCCCGATGTTCTAGCCTGAACACTGAACATCTGGCACAAAGCAAACTAATCCTCATGAATTTCTTCATTTTGCTGAGTCACTTGGGTTGAACCTAGCTCAGGTAAAAGAACTCAACCGAGCTGGGAGGATAGCAGCATAAGAAAATGGTCAAGACAGGGGCGCCTGGGTGGCGCAGTCGGTTAAGCGTCCGACTTCAGCCAGGTCACGATCTCGCGGTTCGTGGGTTCGAGCCCCGCGTCGGGCTCTGGGCTGATGGCTCAGAGCCTGGAGCCTGCTTCCGATTCTGTGTCTCCCTCTCTCTCTGCCCCTCCCCCGTTCATGCTCTGTCTCTCTCTGTCCCAAAAATAAATAAACGTTGAAAAAAAAAAAATTAAAAAAAAAAAAAGAAAATGGTCAAGACAGCTCAGAGCCCGGAGCCTCCTTCAGATTCTGTGTCTCCCTTTCTCTCTCAAAAATAAAAAAAAAAGAAAAGAAAATGGTCAAGACAGTTCATGAGGCAACCAGAGCATGGGTTCCTTGAGACAAAGACGAAACAAATTCCGGCTCTGAAAGTAATAATAGAAATGAAGATCTTTTCAGCTGAAGAGCCTGGTTTGCACACTCCAGCCCTCTCAAGTTTGTTCTCAAGATACAAAGAACAAACTTGAGTTTGATAGTGTGTTTCAAACAAAGGCAGAACCAGAGACATACTTTCACTTGCAACGAGGGCGTTGATTAGACGACAAAGCTCCAGGGACCCCAGATGGTCTGCCCCTCAGTGTACAGACACGGGGCATATTTTCCCTTTTATCAGAAGTTACAAAAAAACAAACAGAGAAGCTTCTGTTTTGAAGGGACCTTGGGCCTTGCTCCCATCTTACAGGGAGCATTCCTGACTTCCCCAGCAGATCCTAGACCATCAGGCCAAGTAATACCACTGACGTCAACGTTCGGAGGAGAGTGTGGAGTTTGCAGTTATCGTCAGACTTGACAATAACTAGTTGTTATGTTTGGGAGGCGAGGATTTGCGCGAGCCGTGCTCTCACTAACTGCTGAAACAGGGCCCTGCTGTGTGTACGCACAGGCATAGGTACAAACGCAGTCAGCCTAATTCTTCCTCTGAATCCGGTACATTCCTACTCAAACTCTAGAAGCGACAGAGTGGTTATTTTAACGGGAAATGTGTTTTCGACGTTAGGCTGGAACCCAGGGCCTGACTTAGGTTGGCTACGCTGAACAGGCCCTTTGTGCCCTGTATGTGTAGTTCAGGGTAAAGGCAGCTTCTAGCAATTCCTCTCGGGCGTGGGACACTGGAACTACAGATAGGTATGGACTAGGGGGCTGTAAAAGAAAATTCGTCCAGAGTACAGAAGGCCAGAGGATGCAGACTTGGCCCCATGAAACTATCAAATATATGTTATTACCAGTATTTACCCTGAAAGGCAAATTTTGTAGCAGGTTGGGTTGTCTTGTGGCTGAAAGTATACTTCGGGCCAATTCTCCCTCAGCCTTTTACAAAGAAGGGAGTCTTGGGGCGCCTGGGTGGCGCAGTCGGTTAAGCGTCC